AATGCTGGGGGGCCACATAAAATGACATGGCGGGCCACATGTGGCCCGCGGGCCTTGAGTTTGACACATGTGACCTAATGACATGAGTGAATGCTTAGTGAATGTTTAGTGAATGCTTAGTGTTCCCGTAGCCCTGATTTACATCTGGTAGATTTCACCAAAGTTTATAAAACACTGGAACAGACAGATGATGGGCAATGCGAACCAAAACATTAGCTACGATTATCTTAAAACACTAATCATAAACATTAGCTCTGCTAATGCTAAAGCGCTACAACAACATGGTGTTTAGCAGAAGCTAACACTCAAATGCTAAATTAAATATGTTGATAACATGTGTCACAGCATATTACATCACCCTCAACAGTTCAGATTTGTTATTGCGCCTCAGGAAGTGATTCTCAGGAACAGAACTCCTGGTTTCAGTCTGATTGTTGTTGAGTTTTTCTAACTCTGCTGCTGATTTTGACCAGCTGACCTCAGCAGAGCTTCAGTCAGAAAGAGCATCAGTGGATTTTGTAGAACGAGTCAATCTGGGTTTGGAATAAACGTCATTTGTTGCACCGTAGCTCAGGTAGAGAACCTGAGGAGAGGAAACAGACCTGCTGTGTAAGCAGTGTTCACCCACTTCAAAATAAGAGCATGAATATGAACGTTTCACTACTTGAAGAATTAACAAAACTTCAGCGTTGATGTCAGACTTTATTTGCTCACGTTGTACGTTTGCCTCCAGGCCCCACCAACACCGACCCCCACTATGAGAGGGTCTTCCTGCTGGACCCTCAGTACCAGAACCCGGCCGTCCTGAGGAACAAGCTGCCGGAGCTGTCGCAGAGCGCCGAGGCTTCAGGTACACCAGACTCACTTTTATCGACCCAAAATGAATCCGCTCCATTTAGCAGAACCAGAACCTTTCTGTCTGCTGTAACTGGATCCCAGCTGGATGTTGATGGGATTTCTCTGTCCTCTGATGTTTTCCTGGTTTTTGGAAACATCATGAGCTTCTAATTAGACTCATTTATTTGTTTTCAAATAAAGGTTTGAATTTACTGTTGATAGCAGTAAAACTTTGGGTAATGTCCCTTTAATATTTATTCTCCAGAGACACAGAGAGGACAGATTATGCTTCTGTTCACTTTTCAATTACTTTGATTTTAACTTATAATCTCTGGTTTATTTTTTGATCATTTCTAATTTTAGACTTTTAGCTGCCAGATATGAAGGGTTTCTGTAAATCAGTGTTTCTGCTCCACTTTGCCCCCTGGTGGCCATTAGAAGCACCTCACCCACCCAGCAGGGGAACATTTGGATCACCTCCTTCACTTTTCTCAGACTCTGTCGGTTCTGTTTCTTCTTCTCATCTGGATCTTCCTGCATGCTCATTCTCCTGTCGTCCTCCTGCAGCTCTCTGCCTCTTTCCGTGTCTCCTCTTCCTCCAGCGCTCTTCCTCGGTAACCCTCTCTATGACCTGCTGCTGCTGACTTCCTGTCGCCAGACGTCAGGATGGCTTGGTGGTAAGAGATGAAAGGTGTGACGACTTGAGACGTTTATCAGGTGGAAGAGCGAGAGTTCAGAGTTTTAACGCTCTGCACAGTGAAATCTAAAAATCAACTCAAAGTTAAACAACTGAAAACAAAAGGACAGAAAATATAAAAAGTATTTTTGGGTAATCTGTAAAATATTAGTCAGTGGAACCATCTTCACTAGTACAGATAAAACTACTTTAATAAAAAAGTATTTTGTACATTAGATTAACCATTTATTATCTTATTACAACAGAATAATTATTAGACTTTACTTTAATTACTCAACACCTTAATTAGATATTTGTATAATAATAATACTGCAACCTCTGTCTTAATATATTAACTGAAATGTGATTAACTGGTTTTTACATTAATAATTATTTCGCTCTCCCCCATTACCATCCTATTATCGAAGTATTAGATTCTATTTTGGTCTTTACGTAATATTACTTTGTAAAAAATAGAAATATTATCTATAATTGAGCCATAATTACATGTTTACTACATTTATCCTTTTTTTTCCAACAAATTTCAAGTTGCTATTTCATTTGGTGTAAGTATTTTTCATTACGCATGTTAAAAAATATCATTTATCTAAAACGGTCAAGTTGGCTCACCATCATATGGTGTCACATAATTATTAGACCTTTACAATAATTTAATAACTGACCTATCAAAACAACAGAGAGCTTAAATTAGTAATAATAATAATAATAATAATAATAATAAATTGTGTTTATTGTTATGGACCTTTTACTCCTCTTTTACAATCTTATCTCTAAGTTAAAATTACTCATTAATTTGGTACTAAACTGTTTGCTAATATGTTAAATACTCTGTAGCCTCTCAGTCATTTATTTGATCAAAATGCTTCATAGCTTTAATGTGTTCATATTGTCTTTTTAACTAAGCTGTAATTACTGGTTATTACTCTGTAACTACATGACATTTGATCAGGATAGATTTAGTGGTTCTGCCACCTTTTTATCACTACCGTCACATTATTTCTTTATTGCGTTATATTCCTGCAAAGTTCATTGTGTTGCATGTTTAATCTATTTTTTCTACCTAATCTCTAATTTTACTAATTCCTGGATATTTTAATGCTGAAGTAAATTCTTCTTGTTAAGATCATATTGTAACTCATCCTTCCTTATTTCATTCCTCCGTCTTTAAATCGAGCTGAAACATGAAGTCTGAGCTGCTGCTGGTTGTGATGATGATGGTGATGATGATGATGATGGTGATGATGATGATGATGATGATGATGATGATGTGTGTCTGACAGCGTGCGGCGGCGGCTACGCCGAGCCGGACGTCACCCAGTGCACGCCTCACCAGTCCTTCAACAACAACGCGCCGCACTACGCCGAGACGGACATCGTCCGGCTGCAGGGCGTCACCGGTAGCAACATGTACGCCGTCCCCGCCCTGACCGTCGACTCCCTCACCAGGAAGGACATCTCCGCCGCAGAGTTCCCACGACACCAGCTCATCTTCAGGGAGAAGCTGGGAGAGGGGCAGTTTGGAGAGGTACAACACTGACCTGGTTTTAGATTCATTTCTTTTCAGTGTATATTAGTCAACATGTTAATTGTAAAAAATTACAGCTAACATGCAGAACAACATACATGGGCTATGATTTATCTGTCTATTAATCAGTCAAGTTTTTTTGCATAACATATTTTACATCATAAATACCCAGAAAATGAAAGAGAATCAGAAACTCTCTTCCTCTCTGCAGGTCCACCTCTGTGAGGCTGAGGGACTCCCAGAATTCCTTGGGGAAGGCTCGCCCCTCCCCGACAGAGACGGACACTCGGTTCTGGTGGCGGTGAAGCAGCTGAGGGCCGACGCCACGAGCCAGGCCAGGTATGCAGAGAGACGGACAGGGTCAGAGGTCAAACCCTGACCCTGCACTGATGCAGAAATTCATGCAAAAGGAGCCCAGACCAGAACTGGGAACAAAGAAAAGATCAGTTCTCAGAAACTGATCTTTTCTTTTTTATTGATGTGATTTAATGTTCTGATCCACTGAGACCCATAGATCATCAATATTACCAATAATCTGTAATAAAATACATCTGTATAATTTATGAGTTTTCCTGAAACTTTTCAGTAATAATCTCATTGATTGGGATTTTTCTAATTGGTACTGCAGCTTCTGGGTTCAGCTGGATCCAGATGGAGACTTTAGTTTGTGTCTGAGGGTCCAACGTTTACTGAAGACGTCTCTGCTTGTCCACTGTCTGTCCTCTGTCCTCTATCTGTCCTCCAGGAACGACTTCCTGAAGGAAATCAAGATCATGTCCCGGCTGGACGACCCGAACATCATCCGGCTGCTGTGTGTGTGTGTGTCGTCCGACCCGCTGTGCATGGTGACGGAGTACATGGAGAACGGAGACCTGAACATGTTCCTGTGTCAGCGTGAGATCGAGAGCACGCTGACGCACGCCAACAACATTCCCTCTGTCAGGTGCAACGCCGCGTAAAAACAATATGTGATGATGTCATAAAATCTGCTTCAAAATTCATGCAAAAGGAGCCCAAACCTTTAGCGGTTCTGAAGCACTTCTGACTCCGCCTCCTCTCATCTGACTCCACCTCCTCCCTTCTGACTCCGCCTGCTCCCCATCTGTCTCCACCACCTCGTTTCTGGCTCCACCTTCTCTCCATCTGTCTCCACCTTCTCCCCATCTGTCTCCACCTTCTCTCCATCTGTCTCCACCTTCTCCCCTTCTGACTCCGCCTCCTCCCCATCTGGCTCCACTCCCTCCCTTCTGACTCCGCCTCCTCCTCCCCCTGCAGCCTGTCGGACCTCCTCCACATGGCCGTCCAGATCTCCTCTGGGATGAAGTACCTGGCGTCTCTGAACTTCGTCCATCGCGATCTGGCCACCAGGAACTGCCTGCTGGATCGCCGCCTCACCATCAAGATCGCCGACTTCGGGATGAGCAGGAACCTGTACAGCAGCGACTACTACCGGATCCAGGGCCGGGCCGTGCTGCCCATCCGCTGGATGGCCTGGGAGAGCATCCTGCTGGTGAGGAGGTGAAACCCAACAGGCCGTCAGATCAAATGAGCCGATTAAACATCCTGCTGCCTCCTGCAGGGGAAGTTCACCACGGCGAGCGACGTGTGGGCGTTCGGAGTGACGCTGTGGGAAATCTTCACTCTGTGTAAGGAGCAGCCGTACAGCCTGCTGTCCGACGAACAGGTCATCGAGAACTCGGGCGAGTTCTTCCGGAACCAGGGCCGACAGGTGAGACGGGTCCATCAGAATCAGGCTGGGAGTTCTGGTCTGTTCAGGGTGTAAGAAGAAGTTTGACCACAAGGGGGAGCTGCTGTCATTTTGCTGCTGTTATTCTGAACTTTTATTGTGATTGGTGTGTTTTATAGGTTTGTTTCTACTTCAACCAGCATGAAAGTTATCAGTTAATGAGTTAATCTAAACTTGATTTTGACTGACTAACAATTAATTGATTAATTTGATTAAGAACAATTAATGTTCTTAAAATCTTGAGTTTTCTCTTGTATTAAGAATGCTGACCATCTTAACATGAAGGGCTGCATTTTTCATAATATGCTAGATAAAAAAAAACATGAACTTTAATGTTGTTTTGTGTCAGCTGTATGAAATACTGACTGAATAAACAGAAGATTAGGATTATCATACATTATTAATCTTAGACATATTTACAAACTATAATAAAACTGTGATCTAGGATTAGAAAAATAAAAGATAAGGAAATATTAATCAACAATTAATCTTAAGCTGATTAATTGTTTGGTCCAACAGAACCAAGTCTGACTGATTTCATCAGAGCCTGATGTTTTGTTGCCATGGTGACTGAGTGCCGTTCTCCTGATCTCCAGATCTTCCTGTACGCCCCTCCTCTCTGCCCGCCGTCTCTGTTCGAGCTGATGATGCGCTGCTGGAGCCGCAACATCACGGACCGACCCACGTTTGAGGGACTTTACCAAGCCCTGAGGCCTCACGTCAACCAGTGAGCCGCTGGGGCCCCGCTGGGCCCTGCAGGGGCCCCGCTCCGGCTCAGGGCCCCGGGGCTGCTGGGACTCCTGTATGGTGACAGACATGAACATGATGGACCAGAACTACTCTGCTGGCTGAGGTCCGATCTGAGAGGAGGGAGAAGAACCCGTCAGTCTGTCTGAACCTCATCAGTCCCTTTAGGAACCAGATGAACTTTTATCGTTTGTTCTTGTGCCAGATGTTGCCTGAAACCTGATTTCCTTCCCATCTTTGGTTCCCTTGGAGCCCAGAACCCAACGGCTGTCAGCCTCTGGTGTTTCTGTCTGCGTGGTTCTGGTTGTTGTAAAGCACTGTGTCTGTGTCTCAGTTATTCATGTTCGTAGATAATAACCCACACTGGAGCTAAAGTCAAAGTGTAGCGTAGACTTTTTGTTGTTAAGTTTTATTGTTATTTTCATATTTTGACATTTGTTTGGTCGTTTACACAGAAGAGAGTCGAGTCCAAGTTCAGCCTCCCAAAACTAAAGTGTCTAAATCTCATTAAACTTCCCGTTTCTATGTACAAACACAAGAACAGCTCAGAAAATTCCTAGATTGTGAAAAATGTTTTTGTTCCTCTTTGCAGAAAATGAAACTCATGATGTCGATTTATTATGCAGTGAAACATTTCAGACCTTTAGTTCTTCTAATTTTGACTTGGAGAAAATAAAACCCCAACATTTTTAACATTCTAAGTTAAATATTGGAAACTTGTGTCGAGTTTCATATTTATTTATTATTAGTATGTTTCCAATAATTCAAGCTGCATAAAGTGCTTACAAGGAAACATAACCAAAAAGTTAAAGACAATTTGCTAAAAGCCCTTTCAGATTGTGAAAAAGGTCATTTCTAGCTGGTTGTTCTCAGAGTGGTGTCCATGCAGACTCATGGAAAGTTGGGTGGAAGAAAAAAGTGAGGTAGGAAAAGGCGCAAAAGCAACAGGAATAACCAAAACCTGGAGAGGATTGTTGAGTACAATCCATTCAAGAGTCTGAGAGAGCTTCACATGGTGGACTAAGGATGAAGTCACAGAGACAACGAGCCTCACCTGGGCTCAGAACCAGAACCAGAACCAGAACTGGACTGAGGAGAACCAGAACTGAAAGTTTTCATTTCATTTGGAAATCAAGGTCCCAGAATCTGGAGGAAGAGTGAAGAGAACCAGAATGACGTTTCCACAGTCGGTGATAAACTCGGGTCATCTGCTGGTACCAATAGTTCAGTCACCATGGTAACAACAGCAAACTGGCCTGACCTTTAACCCCATAGACAATCTGTGGAGTTTGGTTTTGAGGAAGATGACCTGAACGTTTTACAGGAACCTGGACCTCCAGAACCTCAGCAGAACCTCAGGTGGATCTTCATGCTGCTGCATCAACACTGGAGCCCAGACTGAGATCTATAACCCTGATATTTCTGCTTAAAATATCATTTTTAATGATCTGATGTAACATTCTGGTTTCCTGAGACGCTGAATGTTGGGTTTTTATCTCTGTGAACCATCAAAACTACAAGAAATAAAATCTGGAACATTTCACTCTCTGTGTAATGAATATGATGAGTTTCACTTTCTGAAATGATGAAAAATATGAAGCTTGTACTTTGGAGATGAAAGCAAATGTTTGATGCAAACAGGAAGTCCAAAGGTAGAGTCCAATCTGTGTTCTGGGTTCTGCAGAGCGGCTGTGGACCTGATCTGGAGCTCAGATCCGTCCTGATCGCCTCAGGAATCATGTTGAAACTTTCCTAAACACCATGAAGCCGTAGAACTGAGGCTGTTTCTTTATGAGCTGTAAATTCTCCACTGTCATTGAACACATCAGTGATGAAACGTTTGTTTGATCCAAACCTTTAGAGGATTATCGCTGTGTTTGATGGAGACGGATCGGCTCTGATCTGAAGAGACTGATTCTCCTGTTTGAAGCAGCAGATCACCTGGAAGCTGATGGAGAGTTTCCCCCCTTCATGTGAGGCAGAAGCTGAATCCTGTTAAATGTCTGATAAAGTTACAACATTAAGAAGTCTATATTAAAGCTCTCATTTTATAACTAAACTTGTAGTTTCATTTCTAATGGTTTTGATCAATAATTGTGTCGGTGCCTCCATGAGATGATGACAACTTCCTCTCTTCTTCACGTCCGTTTTCACTGCTGGATTTTTACCTGAAAAGATTCAAACTCATCTTAAAGAAGCTCAAACTGTTTAAATGTTTTCTAGGTTTTCAGATGAGGTGAGAAACGTTCTGGTCGATGAAGAACGGACGAAGGTAGAATCATCCAATCAGCAATGTTTCAGGTTTCCCACAGGGACTGACCGGCCTTTTCTGTTTTAATGTTCAAGGCCTCACACACACACACACACACACACACACACACACACACACACACACACACACACACACACACACACACACACACACACACACACACACACACACACACCTTCCTGTTGATAAAGCATCATCAATAAACTATAACAGAAGAAGCTTCTGATCAGTCACGCTGCATTTCTTTGGTTCCTCTTTAAAGGAAGGAACAGAATCTGTGATGAACAAAGTGGCAGAACTGGGCAGCTGTGAACATCCCACACCATAAAGTCATGATTAAAAGGAGAACAACAGATTATTCAGCAGTTGAATTAGCTGATATTATATCAGCTTTGTAATAGTTGCTGATATTAGGGAATTAAATAAATGTATAAATGCATCAGATAGACAAGCTGCATTATTAAGTATAGAAACTGGCAAATCTTGAAGGTTGGCTTTATTATTAATTATGTATCACTTATCACTCGATTTGTCTGGATTCCAGCACATGTAGGTATAGAAGGAAATAAAGTAGATATATTAGCTAAACAGGCCCTGAAACTGGACATAATTAACTTCAGTATTCATGAGGGGAAATCTATTGTTCAAAACAAAATCCTGAACATGTGGCAGGAACAGTGGGGTAGTCATGATACTGGCAGACATTTATATAATGTTCAAAAGACTGAAGGGTAATAGATGTAAGAATGGAAGCCAGAAAGAAGACGCAATAATATCACGACTTAATATTTCTCTTTTTCAAATAGGGAAACATGAAACTGGGACTTGTAATTATTGTAATCAGATGAAATCAGTGGAACATGTTTTATTAGAATGATTTTCCACAATAAATCATTTAGGGAATGTATCAAAATCTACTAGAAATGAATTAATTACATCTTTAAAAACTACTAGGTTATGTAATCAAGTGCATATATGTGTATATACATGTGCATACACATACCTATATGAGGTCATGAGTATGTGTGTGAATATGCATACACTCCATTGAAGTGTGTATTATTAGATCCCCTCTGAATATCTTTGATGACCACACTCCAGTCCGGTAGATGGCGGTAAATGCACCTTAAGTTGGTTGCCATCCTCCAATAAAACACAAAAGAAGAAGAAGAAAAAACTGCGGCGCCATCAGTTATGCAACATTTACTTTCAATTTCAATTTACCTGATCATTGGACACACAGAGTCCGGTTCGGCTGTGGTTCTGCTTGGCCTCAGTCTGCCGTGTCCAGATGTCCTTCATCATGTGTTTGGACTCTAAGGTGTGGACATGTCCCCACCAGTTTGTCCTGAAGGGGACAGTCCCCACCAATATTTCCTACCCTTGTTCCGTTATGTACCTGCATCTATTTGCGGACAGTAGCTCGGAAGCGGCTGCGCACTGCGTACAAAGCAGTAACAGTCAGTGGACGACTGCTGTTTAAAATGAATGTATAAAACGTGAGTGGCAGGTCCTCTCTGTGTTAGTGGAGTGAATATCACATGACTAACTGATTCATCAGTGGTCGGGAAAATAACCAAAGAATCTGGAAAGAGACGCAAAACGTTTCAGTTTATCAGCGCTACAGCAGTAACAAGATCCAAGAGAATCACATTTCACAGGTCAGTAAAAAGTTTACATTTTATAAAAGTGGGCAGTAGATTAGTTACTGTAGCTTAACTTTGACCAACTTTCCCGTGTGTGTTTCGGTTCCGTTAACGACCCAAACATCCACTTTATGACAGATTATCAGATTATCAGGCGTTTAAATGAGCTAATAACATAAACCTGTAACGGACCGAATGCTCTGTTTTGGTGTTTTAACTACTTTTTGTGAGGGAAGTGTTTTTTCTTTATGTTAACTGTTAATACACTTGAACGTAATCTTTATTCTTTCTATCTCTGGGGCTGTCTGTCGGTTGCCATGGCAACGTGGCGACATTCAAAGCAATCATCTAATGAAATATTTTAAAAAAGCACAGGAGTCAAAGTTTGTTCAGTTTTGAACCATGGCTCCTACAGCAGCAGTTCGGTCAAATGAAATTATTGGTCGTTTTAAAAGATACATTTTCTTAGTCCTCTATTGCATCTTAATGGAACTGACAGAAACCCAAACGTTTATATATTTACATCCAGAGAGGATAGTTTACATAAACACCAGCATTTACACATCTTTAATTTAAGCCACATATTAAAGAACTTGGATATGGGGGCTGTGGCCATTTTTTGTGACAGATTCCTCATCCTGGAACCGTGTTTGGTTTTGTGGGTTTGTGGACATAAATGTAACGCCGTCCGCAGGGGCGCCTCACACTCACAGAAATATTTAACCATAACTTTTAAATTTTATGTAATTTCATTACATGACAAATTTCCATTTACCTTTTTTAGATCATTTTAATGCAAACCTATCAAATAAACTTTACATGATTCATATTCATCAGTGTAATAAAGCCTGTTTATTTTAATTGCATAATCCTTTTATGTATTTGGTATTATTAAAGTATAGTTATATTAAATTAATAATGACAAGTGCATTTATTTCAAATACATAAAGTATATTGTTTGAATTTCATAATAATCAAGTTACGCAGTTGGTAGCACTGTCACAAGAAGGTCCTGGGTTCGATTCCCGGCCCGGATCTCTCTGCATGGACTGTTCTCCCTGTGCATGGTGGGTTCTCTCCAGGTACTCCAGCTTCCTCCCCAGTCCAAAAACATGACTGTCAGGTTAATTGTTCTGTATAAAGTTCTCCTTAGCCATGTGTGCATGGTTGTTTGTCCTGTGTGCCTCTGTGTTGCCCTGATGGACTGGCGACCCTCCTGGGTGACCCGCCTCTCCCCCGTTGACAGCTGGAGAGTCAGAGTATATGAATGTAAATGTTGCTCCATGTCTCCATCTAGTGGACTGATAGAAGTGCAGCAGCTGATGCAGCTTCCTCTGCCTTCTCAATGCAGGTGAATGCATATCAGTGCATTCACCTGACACTGACATGAAGCAGAGAAGAGCCAATCAGAGGAGGAGCAGCTGGTCTTTTTCCAGCTCTAATGATGTAAAGGATGATCAGAGCTGATGAATGATGTGTGTTTCCTCTGCAGGTAGAAAGTGTGTGTGAGCTGAAGTGAATTCAGCAGCATGGATCAGTGTGAGGACAGAGAGGAGGGAGTCCCTCCCTCTAAAACCACTCTGTGTGGGGAAGATGGGAGCCGGAGCAAAGGTCAGAGGTGAGGTCACCATCTCTAAGTGTCCACAGCCCGTTTCACACAGCGTTCACACTGTATGAGGCCCAAACAGACGAGGTGATGAAGCTCTGGGTTCCAGCAGGAGACATCTGGAAAACTCACCAACTTCTAACACATTTTCTGGATCTGAATGACAAAAGTTTTCAATATGACTCATCCTAGAAAATATGGATGGAATAATGTTGAAATAGCTTTTTTTCCTGTCAGATTTCTTGATGAACAAGAACCAGGACCCAGCTGTGTGTCCTTCATGAGTAACAGGTCAAAGGGTCTTTATACCAACTTTAAATCTCCTGGATCTCCACCATCAAGGAGGTGAGCTGGATCTGAAACATTTACAAATATGGAAAAACCTGTTGACCTGTTTTTATTTTAATGTGTGATTTATGTGAGCTCAGCTCTTTTCTCACATTTCTATGTTCATATGTCAAGCAGTTGGATGTTTTCTAAAAGCACAGGTAAAATGGGTAGAATGGTAGCTGTTGGAGGCATCCTGGATTCTGCGACATCAAAGGTTTTGATTTATAAAACACAAACTTGGCGTGAAGATGTGTCTCATTCCAACTCTGACCAGTGTGAACTATGTACACCTGTTTGGAAACAGGAGGAAATGGTGACACAAGTGGTGAGGAATTTAAGCCATACTGTTTCATGATTCCCTAAGATCCTTTGTCATATATTGAAATTTAACCATAAATCAACTTTATCATAAACATTCAAAAACTCTGTGTGATATATGCTTCCACTGGTGAACCATAACTATACATCAAGACCTTTCAAATAAACAAAAAAGGTCTATGCTGCAGCCTCCATCCTAAACCAGGCAGCACAACATTCCAATCCTCTCCCCAGTGATCACTAAGGTGAGACAATAAACTGTTTTGTTTGTTGATTTGTTTGTTTGCTTATTTTACCACAGATTAACATATCTATTGTGACCAGGTTTGAAGCG